CAGCAGAGCGAGGGGTCACGGTGCTGCTGGACCTGGTGTCAGTGGGACATCATCTGGGCTGGTTTAGGGGAAGAAGGACAATATACTGTAAACTGTTATAATCACAGCTATTAAGATTAGAACACTAATATTGTTAAAAATCAATCTATACAACATGCTTTTGTTCATTTAAGAAAATATTAAGACTTATTTTAAAAATAATATGATTAAATTACATCAGCTATATATAATTTACTTGTTAATTTACTAATGTAACATGGGGGCTAAAGGAACAGCTTAATCTTAATTACCTGGCAATGATCCTCTTTATTTCATCGCCGACGGTGATCTCCAAAACATGGTTCAAGTAAAAAAGTAAAAGTAAAGTTTCTGGATCCTTTTCAGCTGAGTTAGCTTGTAAGCTAATTTGCTAGCCGGCTGCTGGAGCAGCGCAACCAAACAGCGCGTATCACGTAACGTAAATACGAAGCGCTCCGTAGGCTAGACCGTGGCCCTTTCTCATTTCTCTAACTCCCCTCCTCGACTCCTATCCTCGATACTTAGTCCCGCCCACAGGAGATGCGAGTGGAGGAGCCGAGGAGGGGAACCGAGGAGAGAGGAGGGGAAGCAGCAGGCGGTTAGAGAAATGAGAACTCCTCTCCTCTGAGCGGTCATTTTAAAGAGACGTCCATTAATGATGACAGGAGGCACAGCAGCCCTCTGTCTGATGGACAGGGGCGGCGCCAGGGGGGAGCTAGGGGGTGCTGAAGCACCCCCCAGGATTGCCAAAGCACCCCCTAAGCACCCCCAAGAAATGTGTTTTTTTTTTTTTTCGAAAATTATTATTATTATTTGTATTAAATTAAATTAGAAATATTAATGATTACATCAATGCATATGTGAAACAAACACATTTTTGACCAAAAACATAAAGCCAACACAGGTGATATGATTAGGCCAATGGTCAGCACCCATTCGATTGTTGACCTACCCATAGGCTAAATTACTTTGTGACACTTGATTGACTTCCTGTTAGCTAGAGCGCCAAATGATTTGCTAACAGCAAAGTGAAAAATTGATCGTTTTTAGTCCTTAAACGACCACGTGTGGACACTCAATCAAAACCAACTGAAAGCGAGAGGGATTCTGCACATAATAGGCCTCGTGAGTACAAGTAGCTTACTTCTGGGTCTCTGTGTTTCATTCAAGCCCTGCTCTGTGTGTGTGTGTGTGTGTGTGTGTGTGGCACGAGCCATTTTGTGTGCGTGCGTGCGCGAGCGAGCGAGAGAGCTCGCCTCGCGCACCAGTGGGTATCTACCGGAGATCGTTGTGGTTAGCATCTGGTGCTAGCTAGCCAAGCTAATGGATATAAGGAGCTTTTTCAACAACAAGGTGGAGGGAGAACTCTCTCCTGTCAGACGGAGAGTCTCAGGTAACCTCAACTCAGGTGAAGTAAAGGACTCTCAGTGTTTAGATAGTTAACTTTAGTCTAGTTATCTCAGTGGGTCTCAAACGGTTTGTTTTAAAAGGGGAGTGATTTGTAAAATATCTATAAAGAAATAGAAAATCTGTTGACAGTTCTGTTTCGTATGGGTGTTGAGATGTATCCATAGATCTCTTAATGTTGCTCTCAAAGTGCACCAGATTGATGCTTTTAACTTAAATATGTAACAAAAAATCTTCCCGGGGGAGCTAGCCCCCGGACCCCCCTAGAGGAGGTGAGGACCCTCCTAGAGGAGGTGAGGTCCGCTCCCCACTTGTAAAAATAGCACTTTACCCCTGCCTATATGCCGTGAGCTGATTATCGAGCCTTCATTGTAACAGTCGCGGGTGCACTGTGTGTGTGCGCGCGTGGGGAGTGTTGCAGTAGAACATTCAACTGTAGCGCTGGTGCATTAATGGGAAACCCTAAATGTGTGAGCACCCTCTATGAAACGTCAAGCTACCCCACAGCACCCCCTAGAGAAAATCTCTGGCGCCGCCACTGCTGATGGACAGATGTTTCATGATGACTTATATTTACTTTTAATTCATTCACAGTGCGGTATAATGAGACAATAACAGGCTACAGATGCGGACACACACCACCTATAAAAATAGCACTTTACACCTATATGCCGTGAGCTGATATTGAGCCTTCATTGTAACAGTCGCGGGTACATTGTGTGTATGCGTGGGGAGTGTTGCAGTAGAAATGTCCACTGTAGCGACCGGTACATTAATGGGAAACCCTAAATGTTTGAGCACCCTCTATGAAACGTCAAGCTACCCCACAGCACCCCAAAATAAATCTATGGCGCCACCACTGAGCCTGACTATTTGTGTTGGGGGGGCCCGACTTATTTTTTTCTCCAAAGGGGGGGCCTGACAGAAAAAGTTTGAGAACCACTGCCTTAGCCCATCATGTACAATGTGTTTGAGCGCTAGCCAATAGAAGCTCGAGGTGGGAGTGGAGCCCAATGGAGGCGGTTCAGTCGCTTTATTCCAACACACTTTGGGATTTTAGCCTTTGCAGACCATTGACATACACAAAAACCAATATAACACACTAAAGGAAAGGGAATACACAAACAAAACTAATAGCGCCCCTTTAATATTCCAAGTTAGATTTTAAAAAATATATTTGCTTTACTGAGCTCTTATACTAATCAGCCCTTGGACAAACGCCTCTTTATGTCACACATATAGGTTGCTTTTAAAATTCTGTAACAAGAGGAATGTTCTTGTTCCTTTTTGACCCTGCAGGAAATGAACGTGGTCAGAGCCTGTAAACAACACAGTTAATGCAAGCTACATTTCAAAGAAAGCCATTATGAATGCAGATCTTTACCCTGGGGCATTATCATGTTTATTGTCACATTAGAAAGGTGATATTCAGGACAGAGGAGGATCACTCATGGATATGCAGCACCATTAACAGCCAATGGAACAGACAAGAAGCAGCTTCTTTTTTTTTTCTGTCGAAGGCCAGGATCATATAATCAACGGAAAAAAGAAAAACAGAATATACAAACAAGAGTGGTTAAGGAAATATTTTCAACATGAGAAATCATTCCACTGACTAAGAGGAAAGGTAATGTTAAGAGTCGGGATCCAACATTTAAAAAAACCAACAGCATGAGAGTAAAATAAACATGAGGTTTCTCTACTTATCAAACCCGCTTCAGAATACAGACAGGAAACACTGTTCGTACTAGTGGTGTAAAATCAAAACACAGAGAGAATCAGTGGAAATGTAATACTGGACTACAGTAAAAAGGGTGTGCTGCACACTCTACCGCACACTGTTCACATTAATAAGAAAGTGGAACAATTCTCATCATATTACCTGAACTGATTTTCTCTCATCACTAGGCGCATTCACACCGCAGTACTTTTCCCACAAAGGTTCATCAGAACTTAGTTCATGAGAACTCTTTAGTTCTCATGAACTAAGTACAGATCGCGTTCACACCGGAATAAGTCCCTGGGGGAGGATTAGGCAAATGAAGCCGCTCACGTCACTTCTTCTTCTTCTGCTTTGGGTTTACTGGCAGGCCGCAAACCCTTCACGGCGTATACTGCGGTCCAAAGTCCCCGGCCGGAAGTCCCCGGAGTTGGGGACTGGTTTCAGTAGAAGCTGCTGGGACTCCCAGCAGCTTCTACTGAAGCCTTCCGAGTAAATCGTCAGAACGCCGACACCTCCTCATTTCCACCGCTCCCATGTTTTATTTTGTGTTGCCATAAGTTAGTCTCTCTGCGTTTCTGCGCTGGGCTAATGCTAATAATGCTAATAATGCAAATGCGAGGATAATAAAATGGCGGCTTCACAAAACTCTTTGGGAGTTTTACGGGGCGTGGTTTGCAATCCGCCCAGCCAATCAGACATGGGAACCTTTTCCTCCCACGAAAGTCTCTGCTCTCTAGCAGGGACGAAAAAGGAGGTGAAAAGGTTCTCATGAACTCATTTGAGTTCCGGCTCTTTTTGGTGTGAACGCAACATTTCGGAACTATATCGGAACTAAAGTGGGAAAAGTACTGCGGTGTGAACGCGCCTATTTGGCTCATGAAACAAAGTCCCACCTCCCCTGTGTCCCCTACTTTACACACTGTGTAATGCTGTTCATCACCAGCAGGGGTGCTAAACACTTACTAACTGTGAATCCCTGAATCCCTGAAAACTGCATTAGGATACTGGTCAGAAAAAAAGAAACACATTGGTCACAGAAGTTGGTCATGTGGATAACGGTAAAAAGAAAATATAGAAAATGGAAAAACAATCCTGTCAAGCGTTGTTTCTTCCTGTGTGAACTAATAACAAGGGCTGTGTAACACCTCAATACATTTGTTGGTATGTATGAAAGGTTGGCATCATGTGTGGTCAGATGTATGCCCTTTTGTACCGAGAGTTTCTTGTTTTAAACTAATCTTGCCCGAAAACTATTTCCCTGTATGTAACAGCTGCGTGTTTTGATAATATTTGCGATCTTTGGATTCTTTTTTTGTATTGAAAAAAAAAAAGAAAACCGAATTATTACGGAGCCCCCTAGGGGACATGGAGAAGAAAAAAAAAATTATTTAAAAAAAAAAAAAAAAAAATGTTTTGCGAGATCTCGCAATACTTTTCATTTAGTACTTCCTGGTCAGTTCGGCCGCTACGGCAACACAGCAACCACAACAATGGAGTGGTTCATCGATTTTACTTTGAGCTTGGCCTTAAATATAAAGATATAACATCAGTGCTTGGCAATAGGCACGGGTTTCACACATAGACTGTATATATAAAGGGTTTCACATAAGTGAAGACACCTCAAGAGAACACTCAGAGCGAGGGGACATGCACGTTCCTCTGAGCTGAGTTATTGACAGATTCCAATTTCGCGGATCAATAACTCATGAACATAACGTTGTAAAAATACAAACAACATGACTTTACAATCATAGCAAGGTAGACAACGAGCTACAGAGTCGTTTTTATCAGAACAGTTCGATACACGCCGTCATCCGAGCTAAACATCAATAATTGGTCACAATCTGCAGCTTGAGGAGGGAGAGGAGTGCTTAGGGACCGTCTACAAACTGCAACGGGGTTTTGCGAGATCTCACAAAGGTTTTGCCAGATCTCGCAAAACATTTTATTTTTATTCAAATACATTTTTTTTCTTCTCCATGTCCCCTAGGGGGCTCCGTAAATTATACTCATTAAAAACAAAGTATGAAAAAAAGGAATCCATGTGATATTAGTTCTCCCAGCCCTGCCTAATTTTTAGCACCTCACTGGATACTCCTATTGTTCAAATAATCCGCTGAAATGATGATAAATCTCCCAGTTATGACCCCAATGTGGAATGTGACTCAAGCCATACAAAAGTCAATCAAATTGCTCAAACACTCATTGTAAAAAGTCAAAATTCACCCCCTGGCTGCCCTGTTTTCCGTTGAAGTTTTACAAAAAAAGCTTTGAATGTAGCTTTTGTTTGTCAGAAATCTGTTCTCCACGTTAGAAAACAGAAAACAATTCATGGTCATTTTTGCGTAAACTTCAGGGCTGTGGTGTCAGCTTCAGTGGGCAGTAGAGGAGTGTGCAGGCGCTTTCTTCAGAAGCAAAAGGTGGAGAAGCGGCGTCCAGCCCCGGCTGTGGTCACGACTGGAGGTGGGGGTCCGCACCGGGGGTCTTGTAGAGGTATTTCCAGATGGCGTAGTAGTGTACGGCCGCAGCCAGCGCCACGAACACGTGCCAGATGGCGTGGGCGAAGGGGATGACGCCGTCGCTCTTGAAGAAGAACACGCCGAGGACATAGATGAGGCCGCCGCACGCCAGCTCCTGCATGCCCTCCGTGTTGCTCTGTAGGAGGCAAGGACACGGGGAGATACAAGAGAAATGTTAGGCAACAACAACAACTATCCAGCTGTGTTCACAATCAATTCCGACTGGGGATAGAGTGTGTCGAGTTTAAAAAAATATATATTTGGTGTTAACTCGAAAAGTGTACCTTCCAACAAAGAAAGCAAATTCTGACAAGAAAAACTAAATGAAAGAAAAGTAAGAAATCTATTCCTAAAAGTGTTCCGTTTTTTTTAAATTTAGTATAATTTCAATATCTTATTTCTCACATGCAACACAACACAGCATGTTTGAATGTTGTATTATGCCTGTTTTTGTTATCTTTACACATCCTTTTTTGTTGACTGATGTAATCTCACCATTAGTGAACATGTGGAATGTTTTATTTCCAAGAAGTAAATAAAAATTAAATTACATAATGTGTGTTAACATTGGAACAATAGTAGTGTTAGTGCTATTTCAGGCCGCTACAGATGTAGCACTCCAGATCGGACTCACATGGGTGTGTCCCAGTCAAAAGCCCAGCGGATCCCAGTGGCTGGGGGTGTTGCCAAATTGCTAGAGGGCGTTGCCCAATTTCCCCATTTGTTCAATTACAGGATTGTTGTAGAACTTAGTCTGTTTGCAATGTTTGCAGCTCTGCAGTTGTGTTTGCTGAATACTGTAGCATTTAATCACTTATTTGTTACTGTATGGTTTTCACAAGCTACTATAATGAAAAAACATCAATATTTTAGATCAAATAAAGTATATAGTCTGCTTTATGCAGTATATTTCTTGTAATATTGTTGGGGTGTTTTTACACAGTACAGTAGATTGAAGTAAATCAACTTATATATTAAGATAAGATAAGATGGACCTTTATTAATCCCGTGGGGAAATTCAGTAGTTCAAACAGCAACAGGGTGAGAGTGAAAAACAGGACAGCACAGATTCACAGATTAATAAAATCAAAAATAAGATGAGCGATAAAAATAATAATAATGAGAAACTATGAAATAAGAAATGAATAAAACTAAAATGTAATTATCATATATTATAATGTATTGTATTATTAAGTAATATCATACATTAACCCCATTATAGCAGATGCCACATTGAATGGATGAACACATTTATGCATCAATAATTACAACAGAGTATTTCTAAATACAAGTTGTAAAAATACTTATATGTATTTAATATTAACCCTTTGGAGTCGACCGTCACGCCGGCGTGATCAGATCACATGACCTGTTCAAGCCGGTGCCGCATAAAAACAACAGTCCGGACAACATTGCCGTGTGTTTCTGTCGAAAGTACTGGCTTGAAACTATATCCCAGTCTTTGTTTCATGCAAAAAGACCCAGTAAACACGGAGATACGATGATATAAAGTTAATACATTTCAAAAGTATGAAAAATGGAAGCACATATTTGAATATCTTCGCCATATTTGATCATTTTACGAAACGGAAAATACTGGAAACTGTAGATCCTGCTCAACAGGATGTATATGTGTATTTCTGTCGAAAGTACTGGCTTGAAACTATATGCCAGTCTTTGTTTCATGCAAAAAGACCCAATAAACACGGACATACGATGATATAAAGTTAATACAGATATATTTCAGAAGTATGAATAATGGAAGCACATATTTTAATATCTTCGCCATATTTTATCATTTTACGAAACGGAAAATACTGGAAACTGTAGATTCTGCTCAACAGGATGTATTTACCAGGGAGGGGGTGAGGTAATCAGGTAAACGGAGTGATACGAAACGAGACGAAAAGAGACGGCGGGAACCGAAGAGAGACGGCGGGAAATGGAGAGAGACGAAGATATACGAAGACAGGCGGCGGGAGACGAAGAGAGACGGCGGGAGACTGCGATTGAAGTAAAGTGACAGACAAACATTGAGAATTTAGATATAGTTAGATAGATTTAGAGTTTTGAAGATTCAACTATGATGAAGAGAACTCTGAACGTGAGTCAAGCTTTAAGCTTGTTTTTTGACATGGAGGAGGAGGAACCTGTGCTGTTGCCCTCTGTGTCGTAGTTGACAGAAACCGCTTTGAAGCGTGGCACAGATAAAGACAGAAAAAAATGATTTTTGTACATAATGTGTATATATATATTTGTATTATATTTATAATAACACTCTTGCCTTATCAGAATGAAATCCCATGCTACCGCAATCAAACTTTCACATTATCATAGTGACATCCCATGTATATATTTCCAGCTTTTAAATGGTTTCGTTGTGTATGTTTGTGTTACCTATATGAAATATAATATCATTTTCAAAATCTGTTTTTACGTTTTTTTTGTGATTTTGGGTCCAAAATGTTCATATAGTATCTCAAAATGAAAGAAATAACTATCAGGTTATATAGGTGAGGTTGTCCTTAAAAAAAAGATACCAAACATTGACATGCCAAACATTTCTTAACGGGGTTTAGTAAGACAAATCAAAAGTATGTGAAAACGGCCAAATTAGCCCAGGACTCCAAAGGGTTAATAACATAATGATTACTTTCAGATGATAATACTTTTCAGGGTTAGGTCCGGTCTGACAGCGCTTAGCTCTCTGCTGCAGAGAAGATCACTGCTCTAAACAAAGTCAAACATCCTACATCGAAACGAAATAAATATAATTAATTATGATGAATACGTTAAGTCTTGTTCATTGTTTTTCACTTTTATTAAATGTTTGATATTTCCGGCACAGACCCTTTCATACCGGCAATGCGCGACAGAAGCAACATAAAGTGCGACAGTTTAAATATGCCAGTGTTAATTTCGTCAATGAAAATTATGACGAAAAATGTTCGTCAACAACCTTTTTTACATGACTAAGACGAGACTATGACGAGCTAAAAATAGATTCTTGATAACAAAAACTATGACGAAATGTATATTTAGTTTTTGTTGATGAGACGAGACGGACTAAGGTGCTAATGGTTGACTATCGGACATTCAAGACCCCCAAGTGTCTGTCAAAATGCATTTTACGTTTCTAACTTGCAATATCATTATTTCCGCTCTCTTCACTCCAGAAGAGCGATCTCCCTGTGTCTCTCTGTGTGCGGGGGATCACAGCAGGGGGGGGGGGGGGGGGGGGAGAGCTGTGGAATGTGACTCCACACATTCCGATGGCCAATTAGTTTTAAACAAAGAGTTCCCAACATACAGCATAGGAAACATGGGGGGTTGGGGCTGGTGAACGGTATGGTCCTAAGGACATAGGCGGCGCGTGAGGCTCAGGTTTGGGAAGGCTAAATAACTTTTTTTTATCTGACGCTGCCCGCCTCCGGCGTCTATAGAAAAGAGATCAACTCAGTGAAAGCACCGCCTGCTGACCAATCAGAGCTCAGTGTGCGGAGTTTAAATCTATCAAGTCATATTACAGGATAAAGGAAATACAGTTTAAACTGCCGTATGCAGAGAAGACGCCGACGTGTCGCACTTTATCATTCAGATATAATATCATAATATATCACATTTCCTTATCTGAGTCAGCTTCTCGAGCCGTATCTGGCCGTGCATCACCTACATTGTCACATACTGTATGCAGAAGTATTATTTTAAGCAACACATTAAGTTGACTAAACACTCAACTCAAATGTAATTCAAGACAGATCCACTCGTGTCTTAGATGGGGCAGTGATATCATAAAACTGTTGAAGGCTTTCAAACACTCGGTAGTTATTTTTTAACCAGTTGTTCTATATTCACCTTGCAGGTGCAACTCTGTGGCTTGTATCCTGGATTATATGTTTAAATCATGGATGTTTAACGTTCATATTTGTCTAATATTAGTTTACTTTTCATTATTGAAGTATGATTCATTCAATTCATTCTATATTTTATTCTGTAGATTGTGTACATTACTTTTCACTTTACTGCTTGTTGCACCTGGTTAGAAGCTAAACTGCATTTCGTTGTCTCAGTACCTGTAATATGTGCAATAATAATATAGTTGAATCTAATCTTGAGCAGGAACTAATGTAGGCTATTTACTTAGTAGCCTACATATCTGACATTAACGATTAAACACATTTGTGCATTCTTTATGAATGCAAACCGAGTCAAGCCGACTCCGGAGGAAATCATATTTCGTTTATTTTTAACGAAATAAATGTGATTTAATCCACATAATTTACTGTGTTAATTGTTTACTGTAGTATTGTTTAACTTGAAGGTGCCTGATGTGAACATTTCCAGAATGTATTGTCTTAACTTTTTAAATGCCTCTGTGATGTGCTGCTACCCATTTTCCCCTCGGGGACTAATAAACGAATACTATACACCTTAATTCATGTAATAACAAAATCTCAGGCCAGTAACACTCAAAGCTAAATGTGCAATACCATGCTATGTTACTATTTATTAGGGATGCTCCGATCGCCAATTTCGGGGCCGATCGCCGATCGCTGGAATTAGTATCGGCCGATACCGATCGCCGATCCGATCGAGTGGGCGGGGCCTAAATGGAAGATTTAAATCTTCCATTTAAAGTGATGTTTAAACTCAGTTAATGGGGCTCATTCACTGGAGCTTCCACAAACAACAATCAACTTAATTATTAAATTCAAATTATGTGCATTATTCAAGTTTACATTCACTTTGGATAATAACACGGGAGAAATTAGCGGAAGCGCTCTCTTTTCCTCTCTCCCTCTCTCTCTCCTGACAGCCTGTCAGTATTTCATGCAGCTCACTGATCAAGTAATGAGTGACCCGACAATGAAGAATACATATATTTATAATAACTAGTTTAGCTTGTTCCAGAGGTAGATAAAATAGCTAAGTGTGTTAGGTCTAACTCTTACGGTACGTCCACACAGCAGCTTTTCAAAAATCTTGGAGCTGGGCGTGTCTGAAAGCTTGGGGATTTTTTGCGAGCAACGCGACCAACAACCAATCACATGAATCTCCCGCCCCCGACATACAAAGCAAAAAAACCCGGGGATTTTATGCGAGCAATATATATATATAAACTCCCCAAACAGGCGAAAACCTACCAGTTTCACCCACTGTCTCTGCCACCTCCCTCCATGCCTGGTTCCTCCGGTTTGTATCCCGTTAATAGTTCTGGTCGTAAAGAACCGGGTGATTTGCTACCGTAATTTCTCGTTTGGAATATGAGGAAATGAACTGCGGTCTGGTTCTCCCTGTGTGTGTGTTTCGCTGCGCTTACCTGTCCGGCGGGCGGAGCTGCAGGATTTCTGCTTCACACACGTTGCATACCGCTATTTTACTGTCTTTTTCGGACACCTTAAAAGAATGCCAGACCGGTGAAGCCATTTTGACGAGCTTGTTTTGCCGCACACAGAGAAAAGTGTCATGTATTTTACGTCATGCGATCGGCTCTCGCGATCGGCATGTTTAGAGAGCACCGATCGATCGGTAGAGAGTGAGTATCGGCCGATCTCGATCGGTGACCGATCGATCGGAGCATCCCTACTATTTATAATGTTATTGTTGTTACAACAGAAGATGTTTTTCTTTAAATTGAAGTTAAATGCATCAATCTGGTGCACTGAGGGCAAAATTAAGAGATTTGTGGATACAGCTCTCAACACTCATATGAAACAGAACTGTTCTTATAATGTAATGTGAAGGTATTCAATTACTATGCATATTTTATTGTGTAAACACACAGCTGATCACCTGAGAGCTGCCGTTTAATTTTTTTTAAAACGACGGTCTGATTTCAACAACTCAATGTGTGATTATTATAGCAGTAATATTAGACACTAATAATACAGTAAACTATTAACACTGTCCATATTATTGTTTGCCCGTGGGTTTAGGATTATCGGTAGTGAGACCCGTGCTGCATTTTCCTCCGGTCGGATGTGATATAAAAACAAAGCGATTATTTTTGTTGTTGTAAACTCACGTGGATTAAACTACATGTATTAGTGCATTCATTTCAATTTGCGAACATATGATACATTAAATCAGGGGTGGGGAACCTTTTTCCTCTCAAGGGCCATTTCAATTTTTTCAACATCCTCCGAGGGCCGCACAAATTATTGACCTCTGCTTAAAAATCACAGCCCATTTCATTTGGCCTTTCTTTCATTCTGTGCAAAGAAAAAGCAACCTCTTAATCCAGATATCTCACCATGACTTGCGCATGCATGCACGTGCACGGTTGTGGCATGATCACCAAACAGAAAGATATGGACACAAGATGTGTGCAAATGTATTTAGTTTCCTATCCATGTGGACATGATTTAAGTGGGGGGGGGACCTAACCTCCGGGGGGCATGCTCCCCCGGGAAGATTTATTTTTAAATGTTGAAGTGAAAAGCATCAATCTGGTGCACTTTGAGAGCAACATTAAGAGATCTATGGAAACATCTCTCAACACCCATTTGAAACAGAACTGGAAGCATATTTACTTTTTCTTTATGGATATTTTACAAATCACTCCTTTCAAACTGTATTCTTGTTTATTAATAACAACTGTCATATAGTATTTTATACCTGTTTACTTTATTCTCTTATTTTTTTATAACTATAATGATCATATAAAGAGGTGCCTTTACCTCACTGGTTGTGGAAAAAGCTTCCTATATTCGTTAGCATAGCTAGCTAACCAGATGCTAATAACAACAAAGTTATTGACTGTATGCTCAGTATGACAGATGAACAGATCGCCACTGGGCTTTCAACTAAAGACACAGACACGCAGAAACTGCAGCATGTGTACGGACCGGTACGGATTTATGGGTACTGCCATTTTTTGAAGTCCCGGAGCGGCGTTCTGGTGCTCTCCGTCAGAATTGCACCCCCGTCAGACGAGACATATACCACGTGATGACACGTTAGGCTCGTGTTGTGTTCAAGGACCATGACCGTTGCCAGGAAAAACAGGCACTCGCTTGTTTCATTATTTTGCGGTCGAGATTTCTTTAATTTTTTTCTTTTTTGCGTGTGTTTATAAATTACCTCGAGGGCCGTACCAAATGGTCTCCCAGGCCGTATACGGCCCGGGAGACCATCCTGCATTAAATGATCGTGAGGATGATGATTGAAAATCGTTTGTTTGAGCCTGGATGCATTTCCTGATCTAAAAACATAGCGATGGTTTTGTACCTACGCCAACGTGAATTAAACATTATTTTGTTAAATAAAAACATGGAGATGTTTAGTAAATGATTACATGACTCTTATTTAGCACAGAATATGATCCTATCCGTGACATATGGATCTTAACAAATATCTGCTATATCAGATACCTGTAGATCAGCTGTTTATTTCACATGGGTTCCAGTGTGGCAGCTTTTCACGGCTCCCCCTGGTGGATCCATGATCCATTGCAGCTGGTTTCATTATAATTAAATGTATTTATCAAGGGGGCGTTTCAAGTTCTGCAGGGGGTTTTCCTTTTCAGCAGGGGCCCACCCCGTGCAGATCACGGACCCACACGGGTAGGCGCCTGAAATGAAGCGCTACATCTGTATATCCATGGAAACCACAGGAGGGCAGCAGTAAAGAGTTGATATGTTGACAAATGTTATCATGCATTACAAATCCTGCAAAAACCCCATAGAACCAATATTAAAATCCCTACAAATGTTTTTTTCCTACACATTTATTGCCACAACGTGCTGCAAAAGAAAGCTTATGCATGCTTACATCACTATATGAATGGATAACAATGTGTTTATTCACCATACTAATGAAATAAAAAAACCGTGTTCAAGTGGTATAGAACGATTCAGCACATGGAAATGAACGGAATGGGACTGTAAATGTATTTATGAATAGTGATATTACCATCGATGTCACAACTGATGCAGGGAAGAAACCCATCATCAAGTAGAAGGCCAGCTCAACAACTTTATACCTGTGGAGACAAACAACATTTCACGGACTCTGTGGATGGGGCAAGACAAATAGACTGCAACAAATCTTCGTACAAGCCTCAAAAATATCTGCTGCTAGCGGCTTAGCCAGAGCCAGGTATAATGTCTGCTAAATCTTTGTTTTGACAGCTTCCTGCATGGGGCTACGCTGAGGGCATGAAACACGTTAACACTACATTTTGTAACCAAGATGAGACATTTTGAAGCACTGAGGTGTAATATGTTTCTTAATGCTCTTAATGTCTTTCATTTTTGTAAAGCACTTTGAGTTGCCTTGTGTTGAAAGGTGCTTTATAAATAAACTTGCCTATGTTCAGTGGTAGTTCCGACTTTTAAATTCACATTATCACCTCAAACTCACTTTTCATGGTAGTTGAAGACGTATATGGTTCCAGCAGCAGCCATGAGCCACACAAACCATCGCATGTGTGCTGCGAGGGGGCCCAATTCACGCAGGTTCAACCTGAGGAGAGAGGAGAAGTAAGATCTATAACAAGCCTTCATCTTCATGCAAGCCCTCTGAGTGTAACTGTCCTCTGTGTGACACTCACCAGGGTGTGTAGGAGGCAGCGATGAACAGGTAGATGACCACTCTGTCACACATGTGGAAACACTGTTCCATTGACCTGAAACAAACAATAAACAGGTGATTTGTTTATTTCAAGGTCACAGATATGCAAAGCAGACACATCGTTTGCAGGAGGGAAACCACTTGTCACAGGAAGTGATATCATGTTTCCATCCAAAGGGAAATCTAAATTAAGACTTGACATTGTAAGAAAAGCAGGTGTTGTTGAGTCCGGCTGGGGAATCATTATTAACACTGTTGGCACTTTTCTTTGAACAAATAGTTCCTAATGGAAACAAAACATTACCAATTTTCAAAATCGTTTCATTGACTTTGTGTCTCTGCTTGGGTTTGGACACCATTTGGCAACATCGCTCTTTTCTTGTGCAAATGATAGAAAACCATGTTTGAATCTCTTCAGGGAAGCTGCTGAAAAGTACTGTTATGTTACTGGTATTGGTAATAACGTGTCTGTGCTCTAACACTTCTGAAACTATAGTAAGAAATAAACATATAACTAACACCCAGGGTTTCTGTAGCACGTAAGATCAAAATAAGGAAACAAAAGTATGACTTCAAAGGTTATGCAAAAGGTTGCAAATGAAACTTGACACCAACATACCAGCATGGTGAAAAGGAATGTAAAGAGATAAGGAAAGGACTGACTGTGTCCCTCGCTCTTTTGTCTTTGTCCTCTTGCATTTTGTGACGTGTCTTTTACGACAGTGTGTTCTGCGACAGTGTGTTCTGCTACGTGTCTTGGTTCTTTGCCATTATGGTGGGTTGTCATGGTGCTCCTTCTCACCTCATGTGGCTCTTCTTCCAGGTGATGATGTGAAACACAGTGGAGACCAGGAAGAGGGCGCACAGGCCCATGCCGTACACCCAGGCAGTGACCTTCTCCCAGCCGTTGTCCGACAGACGGTGCAGAAACGCCATGCCCACAAAGGCCGGCACGATGAGGAGCTACGGAGACGAAATGAAACTATTTCAATAATATACATACATAAAAACACAATACCAGACTAAGGGACAGCTTCATCCCACAGGCCATAAGACTGTTAAACACCTGCACTTTTGAAAGAACATCCATAACATTCATCTGTTCGCAACTTACTAATTATTTATCTAATATATCATATTCCAATTACTTGTATATAAATTATTCTTGCACTATTTCTATTCTATTTGTATTTAGTTGCACTATTGTATCCATTTGAGGAGCCTGTGACCTAAGAGTTTCATTGACATAACTACACTGTAGCTATGTACACATGACAATAAAAGCCTTGAATGGAAACTACCTTAAAAGAAGCACTAGATAAATGAGGATGAATCAAGGTAAATAAATAGGTATAACATACAATGTTTGCATGGCATCAAAAGTTGCTGTCCTTACTGATTGAGATATTTTATGGCATTAGGGACAAACTATGTTTTTCTTTGCACATGGGATTTGAAGGCTACTGTGATATTTTTAGAGCGATCATTTTTATTTGAGATGACGTCATTATCATCCTCTTCCCTAGAAAATAAAAGATTAGTCCCATCCACTCACTGCATGGGTGTAGCAGTTTGCAGCATGCTCATAGCAGGTGGGCTGGTAGCGGCAGTTAGCAGAGGCCCGTCTGTTCATGAACCTGAAACACACACATAAACAACACAACAAATAAACAACAGTGGTAATTTGATCAAGCATCAAATTGGAGGATACCTTTAAAACAGTGCTCAGTAGTATAAAGGAAAATGCTTTAGGGTTGACTTATTAGACATAATGTGAGCTCTCAAGAAGGGAGATAGGAACGAAAATAAATAAAATGGCTGTAATATTAATATAGAAACCATACACAGATAGTTATATGTTGTACCTGTTCTAAGTGACAGACCATGACATCCTTATTGTCTGATTTTAACCTGCTTGAGATGTAATGACTTAACTAATAATATATAACTATGGCTAAGACTACTACTTGTTTTGACGACTTTATTAAATGTATGGCCATTTCACAAAATACTGATTATTGTGCTATACATAACAATTGCCATTCACATTTAAATGTTTATTAAAGTGTACTGTCTGTACTGATCAAACACCAAAATATACCCAATTTCAGTGATTAACACCGAAATCAAAATGAGTTGAAAGTGAATCATTATTATAATTGCATTCATTTTAAATGACTTTGTCCCCATTATGACACAGCTATACAGGAACTTTAACCAACATGTTAACCTGAAAGGAAAGCATGTTTAGGCTGCTAACGGTCAGGATGAATGAGGCAACGTTAACCAACCACACTTGGCATTATTAAAGGCAAATATTATTAGCAATTCTTAGCTTGACAGCCCAAAACATTATTTTAACAGTGATATATTTTGATTTACAAACCTCTGAAAGCTGTTCACTCTCTTCATTGCAATGCCTTATTCACCAGAGGAAGCAAAGAAACAAAATCAGCAAACAAAAGACCTACAAAGCCCCGCTCCACAAAGGGAAGAATAAAACAATAAACTGTCTTGACAAGCCAAAGGAAACGGAAGACCTAGCATTAGCTTGTGGCTAACGTTATGCTACTCATTAGCTAACTTTCTCTACAGCTACAAGGCATCGGCAGCATCAATACTACGACTACAAAGGCACCGTTTTAGTCTTTTCCTTAATACCATTCTGTTAAAAATACTGGCTTACTGCCTCGTCTTTAAGCTAGAAATATCCATAAGCACCAGCAGAAGCCAGAACAAACCGAAAAGACCCCTGCAAGCAAGCAGCTCCGCCGGTCATTGACAGGCTGTGCGCTCAACAAAAAACATAATTTCTTTTTGTGCCTCGCCGCCCAAACAGTGGCGAGACATTTAGTGGCAGTGGTTTAAGCCAATGAGCATCGAGTCCACCGGCAAAGTGGCCAATCAGGTCTTAGGTAGGCGGGGTCCAGAATAGGAACATCAAAGACACATTCACATTCAAAGAAATATGCAAATATAAAAATGCACAATGTTTATGTGAAATGGAAAATAAGAAATATAGAAATACTGTATAATGTTGATATATTTGTCGTGTCTGTGTGTTGCTGTAAGTGATTTAATATGTGTTGTGATAATAAGTGACCAATTTGTGATTGTATTTAAATGTTTGAAGACTTTTCACCCCCCCCCCCCCCCCCCCCCCTTTACAAATGGGTTGTACATTTGTAATTAATGGTGTCATGGTGTATACATCCTTTACTTCATAGATTAGATATAAATACTTCAATTAAAGTAGTCCTGTCTATACATTTATAACTGCAGAGATGAAGGATTACTGTAACAAAACACTTAATAATTACTTATTTAAAAATTGCTGAATTAATAGCTTTTTCGAGAGCTAGAAACCAACTATGACTCCATTTTATTATTTTAGAAAAATGTAATGGCAATTGACTTTGACTTTATACAAGGTTTGTAAAGGAGGAGGAACACTTGTTGACCTACAAAGTTGACTTAATAGGAGGTGGTACAGTACTAGACAGCATTGCATAAAAAGCTCCAAAATGTCAGCTTGCGAAGTTTATTTGGAAATTAAAAAAATAAAATAGAAACCTGTCACATGATAACATAAATTATATTGTAGAGAGGCCATTAATAGCCTGGTTAGCAACGCTGAGTGTGTGGTTAAACAGAATGACATTTTGTTTGAGTGTAGGAATGCAATAGTGAAACAAGTTGTGTTACTAAGTACTTTCATATAAACTGACAATCTCTCACATTTTTAGATAAAACAATTGTGTTTAGATGTTTATCAACTCAACTTTTCACAATCTGAATCTGACAATCCTGGAATTGTTCGTAAAATGTGTACAGATACCAAAAATGCTCTTGTTAAGCAAGTTCCTCTCTGTTGGAGGATTCAATGCATGCATACCACACTGATTGCGTTAACATCCACCGTAGCTTAAGCCTTAACAACTTACAGTAACTATTTGACATATTTTTTACAGAAAGATACCAAAGTCAGAAGTCTCTTCAGCATGAGTTATTGCAGCAGAAGCCCAATGTTGCAGCAAGTGACAGAACCAGACAGTGAACTGTACACACACAGGCTGTAACAGCAGCACAGTTACATAACAGCACAGTAACTTGATCAGTGGCTCTTAGATATAACAGAGGCTTTATGTAAGACCAAAGTGCAATCCTCAGGCTTAATGAAGTTCATGCAGTACACTCTGCTATTGAATGCTGCTACACACAACAAGACACCAAATGAAGCCTTAGTATATTTTGTCTTACAAATGTTATCCTATGGGCACTTTAAGAATGTTTTTCTGTCAGCAGATACAGATAGCCACTTTCTCTTGAAATGTAACTGAAAAAGATACGTCTAAAACAAGTTCATAGCAGAATGGTGATTTAGCTTTTTAAATAATCTGGGCCTTTGTGGTACACATAGTCTGTACCAGTGAAAACAAACAATGGGATTGATCCAGGCAAAGAGAAAAAGCTCATTGTGTAGTTTTAAAAAGGACATTAGCACTGACAACAGGGGCATGTGAGAGGCCATATGTCAGGGGACAGAGTCTCCTTGTTTCTCGCTACAGTCTGCTTTATCCGCACGCTGCTTCGCTAACACCTCTAATGTGATACAGACCTGAGAGCTGCAGGCTGGCAGCGTGTCAGCGGCTCAGAGACCTTCCTGTGCTGGCCGTAAAACTTTATAAAAAAATGTTTAACATTGTGAGATACGATTTTGGCCTTGGTGGTGGTCTGTGCTCTCCTATTTCCTTTTTGGGTTTTGGTCATTGTTAGAATAGAGTACTCTAAAAGACCTGCACTTCCATTACACTTTACTTCTCAAGACTTGTAGCATGTTCAGATTAAGCCTAATAGGTAATGCATCGATTTAGCAATGCCCTCCTATGACATAGTCAGTGTATAATGGGCTGAACATTTTACAAAATCGTTATAGCAGAACCAAAGATATCTTCTTTTTCATTTCATGCATTCTTTATCAAAACATGGTTACTAAATCAGTCACAATGCCTCTCAACCACCGGCAGTTGGTGGGGGGATTTGGGTGTTATGCTAGTGGCGGCTAATGTAGCCTCAAGCAACAGATTTCATGCTGAGGAAAGAAGCAAGCCACAGAGGTCTAAAGTCTTGAGCCTAACCAGCACTGACTCAATTGACATAAATTGAGGAAATGTAGGGGAGAGTGGGCAAGATAGAGACAATTTCTACTTATGTTGTCCTCTTGGCAAGGAACATAGATAGAAGTCAAATGACAACAACAACCTTTATCGAAATGATGCATCTCACAAAGGGCCATGAAAATATGACTTCTTAAATTAAAGTGGTCTTGTCGCTTAACTTGCCCCATATAAGGGGTAAATTGAGCCATCTAGGGGTTTATTCAATAATTGACTTTTTCAAGTTCAAACCTGAGTTGGTTGCTACAGGAATGTTGTTTCTGTCTGCTAATTCAAAAGCCAGTTCACAGCATTTCTTCCGAGTAAGGCCATGGAACTGGTCAGACAGTTTTTTGATCTGCAAGTTCCTTCTCTCTCCTGCGTGAAGACCCTATTTGCCTCTGCTGTTCAACTGTACCATACTTTTTTCACTTCCTTTTCCATTTTCCTTTTCTGTATCTACACAGGGTTGACCTGTCCATATTTCTGTCTTTTGCCACTGCTCTGATGGATTTTCCACCCTTGCCATCAGTGGCTGCTCTCTCCATTGTATCATACGCTTAACCCTCAAAACATTTGCGTTGCGTTGAACATTTACTTTGACAAGCAAAACATTTACCACTTTACCATGTGCTTCCCTTCATCACAGCCAAATAGAACAACACAGTTCCCTAGATAAATGGGGTGGGTCCACTTACCCACTGGCTCATTTTACCCCAATCTCCCCTATCAGAATTCCAACTAGACATGTGACCATAATATATGTGTATATATATAATCCTATTTTGGCCCAATCCCTAAGTCAATCTTCTCTCTATATTCAATGGTAACCGGGAACAAGTCTTGCCAGTTTTGTGGGGCTTGTTAGAACATGGCAAATAACAACTGTATCCTTCTGAACGTCACCTCGCCCTATTCAGTTACGTTACTTAAAACCAGTATAAAGGGAACGTTTAAGCTTTAATTTCAGTGCAATCTCATACTACTTCACTGTTTACCTGCAGAACAAATGTCCCCTTTCCGTTCAACAGTCAATATAAAAACTGATGCACTGTGTTTGGAATTGGAGTTATTCTTGCAATGTGCCATCACCCTGTCTGGTACAGTAGAGTAGGCTACACTACCGTACTGCAGCACTGCCTTCACAGACTGTTTACAGTTTGGTTAAGGGGCTGTGGCTTTGTTACTACGTTAACTTTTGTAATTTACTGCCTAGATTCACCAAACTCACTTTTCTTTACTCTGACTACCTGGCACAATCCAATATGTTCTTTCATTGCGTTTAGGGTTAGGGTTGGTATCACATATCACCTATAACCTACTTGTTTGCAACTGCCTTTTTAAGACACTTAAAATCGTAACACTTATTTACTAAGGTATTTACTTATGTATTTGATGCCGTAAAACCAAAATATCTTTGAAATATCTTCTGCTAAACCACCAACCATATCTCAGGCTTCTTTAAATTGCCATGCCATACC